GCAAGTCAATATGTGTACTGGCCAAATGAACAATGCAGGTCAATATGTGTACTGGCCAAATGAACAATGCAGGTCAATATGTGTACTGGCCAAATGAACAATGCAGGCCAATATGTGTACAGGCTAAATGAACAATGCAAGTCAATATGTGTACTGGCCAAATGAACAATGCAGGTCAATATGTGTACAGACTAAATGAACAATGCAAGTCAATATGTGTACAGGCTAAATGAACAATGCAAATCAATATGTGTACTGGCCAAATGAACAATGCAGATCAATATGTGTACAGACTAAATGAACAATGCAAGTCAATATGTGTACAGGTTAAATGAACAATGCAAGTCAATATGTGTACTGGCCAAATGAACAATGCAGATCAATATGTGTACAGACTAAATGAACAATGCAAGTCAATATATGTACAGACTAAATGAACAATGCAAGTCAATATGTGTACAGGCTAAATGAAAAATGCAGGTCAATATGTGTATAGGCTAAATGAACAATGCAAGTCAATATGTGCACAGGCCAAATGAACAATGCAAGTCAATATGTGTACAGGCCAAATGAACAATGCAAGTCAATATGTGTATAGGCCAAATGAACAATGCAAGTCAATATGTGTACAGGCCAAATGAACAATGCAAGTCAATATGTGTACTGGCCAAATGAACAATGCAAGTCAATATGTGTACTGGCCAAATGAACAATACAAGTCAATATGTAAACTGGCCATATGAACAATGCAAGTCAATATGTGTACTGGCCAAATGAACAATGCAAGTCAATATGTGTACTGGCCAAATGAACAATGCAAGTCAATATGTGTGCTGGCCAAATGAACAATGCAAGTCAAATGTGTACTGGCCAAATGAACAATGCAAGTCAATATGTAAACTGGCCAAATGAACAATGCAAGTCAATATGTGTAATATGAAAACGTAACAATAACACTGATTTTCAATAAATGAATGAAAATGTATGAACAAAACACAAGTTAACAAACTATGTTCAATAGCCAGAGCATCTATGTACCACTAGTTTCATTGGAATCTTATGAATGGTTCTTAAAATATCAGTGGAACAGATATATATATGTACATATAGAGTAACATTCAGACTTCAATGGTTTGCTTTGCACATGGGAGTTAAGAACAGTAACATTTGCACATGTGGTATACAATGACGATGTTTGTTGTGTATTTTCTACCAGACAGACCTAAATTACCATCTCCTGGTACCGGTATATATCGCAGAGAATCACAAACACTTTATATAGCCTTGACCAGAGATCAAAATCACATATAAATAAGTGTTTTATTAAGTCTGGATAAAGTCAACATCACTGTTGTTCCATCAGAATTTAGCTTGTAGATTTTGATACACCCTATTTTGCAATCACTTTTTTTTTACGTTTTACTATTACTAAAAATAATGCTACTGACACTGGTTATGAGTCATGGCAATCACGGCGTTCTTTATGTCGTGTACAAATTAGTAAAGTGTATAGCGGTTATTGTTACTATCTTCACAATCTAAAAAGTTAGAAATGTTTACACATGTGATCTCTTACCACCATCATCCTCAATGTGAGCTGGAATAATCTTAACAGATGAGCTTGATGTCATTGACAACAAAGAAGTAGAATCACTGGTAGCAGTATGGACATAACAATCTGACTGTTTGTAACAACGCAGTTTTGGTACATTGTTTTTAGTGAACTCCCTCTGCCACTCAGCAATAATTTCAACTGTAACATTATCATCTGAAAGAAAACCCGACAGTCATGTGAGAAGGTTTAGAAAACGATAAAGCCCTGAAAAAAAATATATTATCTGGTCAATTCATTTTCCCAAATCACATGTGTGATTTTCAATTATAATTTTAAAATTGTCATAACAATTGTTATTATTAAAATTATTAAGGTTTTCCCAGAAATCTTCTTCCCACATTTTAACTGAAATGCGCATAGACAATCAGAAAAATAAAAATGTTTTTTTTCCCAGACTTAACCAGATCTTTACACTCAGAACATTATCAGATAGTTTGTAACTATAAATATACTCACCTTCAAGTTCAATTTCAACTTCAATTTCCATATAAGTACATACATCTTCATAATCATCATCATTACCATCAACAACATCTTCCGGTGCTCTACTCAAAGTCTATAAAATAAAACTCAAAGCTTAGAAAGAACTCCCATGTTCTAAAGGGTATTGAAGGCATGAAGTACAAATAAGGAATACTGTATTTACTCTATTAGAAGCACAACTCAAATAGAAATAAAGTAAAAATTGCCTTTATTGCATGCAATTGAATCATGTCTTATTTTAACCATAGACATTCCGTTGTCATTTACATTATGACAGGGCTTCACCAATTGACAGGGTTTTGCTAACCCTTCATCAATCACCAATTGGCAGAAATATGCTAATTCTTCACCAGTCGTCCAAATGTTCGGTAGGGCTTCCCTAACTCTTCACCAGTCACCAATTGCAAGTTAATTCCCATCCCAACCACACAACAGATAAGATACACAGCAACAGAATTAAAAAATCTCTAAAACCACACTACCTGAAAAAGCATTACTTACAAGTTTGAATTTTTGGGTAATCTGAAAAAACTTGTTGACAACATCGTGATGATCAGAATCCAATAAGACAGAACCATTAATTCTGTGAATAGTATCACCATTCCTTCAAACAAACAAACATATGAAAATAAATTATTTTGCAGTACATATTTTATGCATTGATTAAACCCAATGATTATTCCACATACTACTAGTAAAAGGCAAAAGTAAATTCTAAATTATGCAAATTAGGGAATTGTCTCTGGAACCTATGTAGCAAGTTGGTGGAAAAGCCAAAAATGTATTATTATGCAAAGTAGCTAATTATTATGGATATATTTAAACCCCAAACTAATTAGGTCATCGCATTGTCTCACAGCATTTATGTACCAATATTCATAGAAATGTGATGATTAGCAATTAAGATATTGGCAGAAAAGTTGAAAAATTGCATTTCTATACACTGGACTATCAAAATATGACTTAAGACCAGAGAAACATCGCATCTATGTACATGTATGTGCTACTGATAAAGCAAATATAGAGTACA